CAAAAACTCTACAAGATCCTAAAAGACTCTCAAAAAAATTCCCAAGAATCTAGAAAGATCCTCCAAGACTCTAAAAGATCTTTCAAGACCCTAGAAAATCCTCCAAGGTTCAAGAAGATCTTTAAAGACTCCAAAAGATCTTCAAAAACTCTACAAGATCCTAAAAGACTCTCCAAAGATTTCCCAAGAATCTAGAAAGATTCTCCAAGACTCTAAAAGATCCTCCAAGACCCTAGAAGATCCTCTAAGGTTCAAGAAGATCTTTAAAGACTCCAAAAGATCTTCAAAAACTCTACAAGATCCTAAAAGACTCTCAAAAAAATTCCCAAGAATCTAGAAAGATCCTCCAAGACTCTAGAAGACCTTCCAAGACCCTAGAAGATCCTCCAAGCTTCAAGAAGACTTTAAAGACCCCAGAAGGTCTTCACAATCTACAAAATCCTCAAAGACTCTCAAAAAATTTCCCAAGAATCCTCCAAGCTTCAAGAAGATTTTTGAAGACTCCAGAAGATCTTTAAAAACTCTAGAAGGTCCTCCAAGACTCTAAAAAAAATCTCCAATGCCAGTCTCAAAGACTCTAGGAATCTAAAAGATTCTCCAAGACTCTAAGACATCCTCCTAGGCTCTAAAAAAACATCTAAGACTCTAGTAGATCTTCCAAGGCTTTAAAAGACTCTCCAAGACTTTTAAAAAAGATTCAAAATTCTAAAAGAACCTCCAGAACTCTAGAAGATCATTCAAGACTCTCAGCAAATACTCCAAGACTCAAAAAGATCCTCAAAGACTCTAGAAGAACCTCTAAGACTCTCAACAGATTCCTCCAAAACTTTTAAAGAACCTCCAAGACTCTAGAAAAAATTCCAAAACTCTAGAAGATCCTACAAGACTCTAGAAGATCCTATAAGATTCCATAAAATACTCCAAGACTTTTGAAAAACCTCCAAGGCTCTAGAAAAAAGCTCCAAAACTCTAAAAGATCCTACAAGATTCTAGAAGAACCTCCAAGAATCTAGAAGAAACTCCAAGACTTTAGAAAAAAAAACTCCAAGACTATAGAAGATCCTACAAGACTCTAAATATCCTACAAGATTCCCTAAGATACTCCAAGACTTTTGAAAAACCTCCAAGACTCTTAGAGATCCTACAAGATTCTAGAAGAACCTCCAAGACTCTAGAAAAACCTCCAAGACTTCAGAAGAAACTACAAGACTCTAGAAGATTCCCTAAGATAATCCAAGGCTTTTGAAGAATTTTCAAGACTTTAAAAAAACTTCAGAACTCTAGAATATCCTACAAGACTTTTGAGATTTTCAAGACTCTCATAAGATCCTTGAAAACTCCAGAAAATTTTGAAAGACCCTCAAAAATTCCACAAAGACTTCAAAAGATCCTCCAAAACACCCGAAAGATCCTCCAAGACTCTCAGAAATTCTCAAAAATTCTAAAAACATTCTAAAATTTTACAAGACTCTTAAAGATTCTTGAAAGACACAAAAATGATCAAATATAAAAAATTTCAAGACTCAAAAATGTTCAAGGCTCTGAATCACAGAGATCCCATGGGACTAAAAAATTTTCAAGATTCTGAAAGAATTCTTCTTGATTCTCGAATCATTCTTCAATATTTTCAACTGATGCTTCAACGCTCTGAAAGACCCTGAAAGACTATTAAACTTTCTTCAAGATTTTCTTTAAAAAAATCTTTATAAAGATTCTTCAAGGGCCTCCTCAAGAGATCTTCCAAGACCTTCGAAGACTCTGATTAGTTGTTGATATCGAATCGATTAATGATACACCAACTGTATCACTGTATATTTATATATACTATAAAGGGCAGCTATACAAAATTATATAGTTTATAGTTATAGTACAGCTTATAGCAGCATTTAACATAAAGAATAAATCAATAGAACTTTGGAAAAATTGAAGAAAAAATAACACAGTTTAAATAACTTAGTTTTTCCTCAATTTTTATAAAAGATCATATTTATTCTTTGAAATAAAATCGCTTCAACGAGTTATGATAAACATTGCTTGAAAATGATAAAAGCATTTGCAACTTTAAATATATATATATATATATATATATATATATATATATATATATAACTAATCCTATTATAAATACTTATAATTTTATATACATTTAGCTATTTGTGCGTACTTACATTTAAGCAACTAAAATACTATATAAACAGAGCAATAACCATAAGAGTATAATAACTTATAATAAAATATATATATTGAATAAAAATTTAATGTTGAACAAACAAACATTTTAAAAAAAGTATATAACTTAAGTTTATAATTACAAACTAGAATATATTAATAATTTATTTACATTACTTGTCGATTTTAGTAAAATCAATAGGCAGTATTGAATTGAAAAAAATTAATACAATTTGGCCTAGTTGGAGGAATAAATAACAAATGTGTAATTGAAACATTACTTGTAATGTTATTAACGTAGACTTAGGAGCCAATTCTGCGGTAAAATAGCCGCGTCTAATTATTTGCTGTGCGATCAGGCGTATTTTACATATAAAACCATATGTTATAAATTAAGGTGACCATACGCCTGGTTTGGCTGGGATTTCCACCTTGTGTCCCGGGTTTTTCTAAAAGCATTATTTGTAAACGATTTAGATCTTTTGTCCCGGATCGTCCCGACTTTTCGAAAATTAATAAGTAAATCAACAAAAATTATGAAAACATTTTTTTTTCAAAATAATTATGAAGAAAATTGAATAGAATTTTATACAAGGCTCGAAAGCTAAAAAAAGTTAGATCGAAAAAAAATAAGATAGTTCTTATTAAAAGTCCGCAACAATTCTGATGAAAATGAATTGAAATAAAAAACTATTTTTTTGTTGTATCCTTAAATAAAATTTGTTATTTCTCTGTCCCGGATTAGAATAGCCAAAAATTGCCGTCCCGGTTTTAATTTAAAAAAAAATACGGTCATCTTATATAAATGCGTATCACGAAGATGCAGTTATCATAACATTCTTCCTTGCTTTGTTTATGTGTAAAATACGCCTGATCGCACGGCAAATAGATAGACATTTTCTTAAGATAAAATAATAATATAGCGTTGCTATAACAACGCAGGATTGGTGCCTTATATTATCTGGGCCTTGCATAAAAAAATTTAAATAAATAAATAAATTTGCTTTAACAGATTCTTCTGAAATGTAAAAATTCATCTGTTAAAACTGTGACTGTCTAAAATCTTGTCGATATCAGAAAAAAGTTAAATCTTCAGTAACTTATGTAAGGCCAGTAATATAAATCTATGTAAATATATATATTTATATATGTATATATATATATATATATAATATATAATACATAATATAATATATAATAGACAAATTTTTGATTTTTCAATAATTTGATTTATGTTTCAATCCGAACAATTAATAAAAAAAAAATCCGTTTTTTGCATATGCTTATTTACGATGTTTCGGAACCGTATATATTCCATCATCAGGTTTTACTGTCAAAAACAAATTATTTGAAACAATATTAATAAATAAATCATTTGATGATTACAGACGATAAAGGACACATCGATAGATAACAGAATGTTTAAAAATGTATAAGTGAATAATTAACTATGTGCCTTGTGTAAAATTTAAAAAATGGTGAAACAAATATTATTTATTCGCATCACTAAATTTTTTTTAACATAAAACCCTTATAATGAAACGTATCCAGTTCCGAAACGTCGCAATTAAACATCTACTAAAAATTAATTGTTTTGTATTCTTTAGATTAATCTTAGGATTAAAGACATAAATCAATTTACTGAAAAATCCAAGATTCATCTATTATGTATATATATAAATATATATATATATATATTAGGGTGATCCTTAAAATGGTCATTTTCGAATTTTCTTGCTCCCAAGGACTCAAATGGTTCCAAATTGATAAAAAGAAATTCTCTTGAGGTTTTAGCTCTTAATATTAACATTTAGATAGTCCGCAATTCAATTAATAGCTTTTAAGTTTATTTTTAATGTTTTTTCAGATGTAATTTAGCAAACAAATGAATGAATAAAATTCATTCATTTGTCGCTAAGTTATACCTAAAACATTTTTTTTTAATTTTCAAAATTTTTTTCATGCTCTTTCCATACGAAGTTTGATTGAATTGCGCTGTATCTAAACGATAATATTAAGAGCTGAAACTTTCAGAGAATTGTTTTTTTATCTATTTGGACCATTTGAGCCCCTGGGAGCAAGAAAATTCGAAAATGACCATTCTAAGGAACACAATAATATATATATATATATATATATATATATACACCTAAGTCTGTTTTTACACGGTTTTGATATAACACGGTTTGAAAATTGAATATTTTTAATTTTTTTACACGATTTTATTCCATTTAGCACGATTTGAAATTTTATGTACTTAAATTTTTTTTGTCAAATTTAATTTTTGCGAAGTAATGTTCATATCACAAAAAAGTATTTATGAAAGAAAAAAGTCTGAAACCATCGATAGTATCGATAGTTTGCGAACACTAGCTTAAAGATTTAAGTGAATCCCCCTTTAGCGCGTACAAACAATTTTTACTGGTCAAAGCAAATGTGAATAGCACTAATTTAGGGAAACCTTAAAATTGAATAACCTATTTTTTTCGTTCACAACATAGTTTTTTAGTTCCTGAACTTGCCATACATTTAATTTATATTACTTTTAAGATTAGAGTGCATATCTCTTTTTTATCATTACTTACTATACTTGTGAAAATAAGCATTATTTGATTTAATAAAATAAACATAAATTCTTGTTTTTAAAAATTCTTTTTTCACTAATTTTAATAGGTTTTAGAGATTAGGAACGAATCACCCATTTTTGTATAAGATCTATGTCTTTTTTTACACGTTTTTTTTTACACGGCTTCTTCTGGAACCAATCTACCCTGTAAAAACAGACTTAGGTGTATATATATACACACATATATCCATATATATCTGTGTCATTTATCCCTACGTATCTTTCCCCCTTAGGCTTCGTCGTCGGCGTCGTTATTCGAGTTGGGGCTGTTCAGATTGACCGCAGTAGGGCCCGAGGTGTGCCTGAGGCTGCTGAGGGCGCTCAAAAGGCGGCTGTTGGCGGCGTCGAGGGCCGCTATTTGCTGTCCCTGGGCGTCTATAACGCGCTGCTTGTGCGACAGGGCCAGGGACATCTTCATTTGTTCGCGTTTGCGCTCCTCTTCGACACTCAACATCCTAGAAGGTAAATGATACGATGATAAATGATAAATGATAAATAATCTAGTCGTAAGTGGCATTTTGCCTTAAGGGGGTATTCTACTGTAGAATTTTGAAAAAATCGAAAAATTGTTTTTTTCATATTTTCAAAGTTTAGTTATTCAAAAATATGTCATTAAAAGGATTATTCAAAATTACTATAATTTCCTGAGTTATAGCCGTTTTAGTGACGTGGCCTCGGTTCGGGTCCGACTTGTCTCAAAACTTTGAACGCGTTTTTCTCGGAACTACTTTTTTCGAGCTGGCGGTTCTCTATACATCTCTTTATCGTATGAACCTTGCCCAAAACTATAACTTTTCATTTAGTATTTTTAAAAAATTCGGACTTGTTAAAAAAACATGAAAAAAAATTTTTTTTTTTTAACTGCCGCCATTCAAACAAAAATTTTCGTATGAACATATCCAAGGTTCATACGATAGCGGCATCTATAATAATTAAGAATCCATCTATTTTTTATGTTTCAAATCACCAGGAGGGTTGGAATCATGCACGCCAGGACACCCTCTTTTTTTTTGAGCCACCACTTTGACTGCTCATAACTTTGTGAATTTTAATTTTTTTTTTCTAATAATTTTTTTGTGTGATAATAAAATATCAATAAACAAATGATAAAAAAATCGATGGTAAAAATATTATTTGTTTCCTTTATACAGCGCTTCAAAAACCGGGCGAAATTCATACCTCTACAGTAGAATACCCCCTTAAGGGGCACAACTAGTTAACCGCCTAAAAAAGGTGATTTTTGGGAATTTATATTAAACTAGTTGGTTTGGTATTTAGCCTTGAGGCAAGTTACATGAGCTTTCCGATATGTGTAAATAATCGACTTATTAATAAAAAATAATTTAATTGATGATTGATTAGAAGTATTCCGAGTGGATTTATTACACATAATTGAAAACGAACGAACACTTTGACTCGGAGTATTTTCCAATAGCAAATTTTCAAAAATCACCAGTTTTTATAATTGAACCAGTTTCCATAGGACTTTAATGGTTTAGTATGTTCATTAAAACCAAGTACTCTATCGTTATACCAAGTAAATCGTCTAATTAACTTCCCGTAGGGCAAGTTATAGTAATCGAAAAAAAATCGAAAATGAAAATTTTTATATATCTTTACGTTTCAAAGGTTTCTGAACATTTTGGCATACCTTAGAAAAAATGGATGTATGTGTGTGTGTGTGTGTGTGTGTGTATGTATGTACGTGTGTGTATGTATGTGCGGATACAAATTTTCGTCGACGATTTCGGGAACACGGATCAACCGATTTGAATAATTCAAAAAACATTCGATTCGTATTGATAAGGAGACGTGCTGATTAGTTTTTGGCAAAGGCAGGTCTAGCCGTTTCGAAGATCCGGGGCAAAAAGTGCCGAAAACGGTAACTCAGTTTTTAAGAGAACGAATCGTCCGATTTTAATAATTCAAAAAATATTTTACTTATATTGCCAAGGTGAAGAACTAGTCAAATTTTCATAAAGGCAGGTCTAGCGGTTTCGGAGATATAATGAAAAAAGTAAAAAAAAATGCCATTTGGCGGTCAAAAATGATCATTAGACATATGCACATCAAATTATCAGATATTTTAGAGATTTTAATAATAAGTATAAATTTGGTTTACATTCCTATGGGTTCCGTACCAACCGTTTACGCATTAGACGGCGACTTTGATATTTCGTCTTTATGCAGTTAAAGCAGTACGATTGCTTTGAAAAAAAGTTTAGATCTTCCAAAATATGTCAAAATAAAGAAAAGATTATTTTTTCAAAAAAAAAAATTAAAAAAAAAGTCCAATTTATAGTTTTTTTTCAAAAATGTTAATTGTTTTTAAAAAAAAAAAATTTGGTACGGGAAGTTCCAGCAATTTGCCTTAAGGCACGATGCCTTAATTGCCTTAAGACAGAATTCCACTTACTGCTAGTTTTAATTTTTTTTGAAAATGTTTGTTTTTTTTAAAAAAAGTCAGTTAAATAATAAATACACGTGATATCTTACTATACCCCTCCAAGCTAAGCACAGTATAAGTGAAAATGCCGAAGAGAATTATTTGCAAATGCGTTTAGACTGTGACTATGTGGGAGCAGTTTTTCACTTTTTGTGTAAATATTTTTTTTGAAATTGAATTCGAAATGAAATGACGATTGTTAATGTTCTGGAGATATTTTGATTTATGATTTATGATTTACATTTGATGTGCTGAGATATATAACAAGATAGCAAAAATAATGAAATTTACAGTATTTGTAATAATATATTTGAAAACGTTTAAAATTTCACGAATATTTCATTACGGTACTAGAAGTTCCAGCAATTTGCCTTAAGGCACGATGCCATACACCACTAGTATTATTTTTCTATCCTACCTGGCAATGATACTCTTCATTTTATTATCATCGGACACAGTATACTGCTGGTGTCCGTTCTTCCCACTCCTCTGCAACTTGGCTTGCAACCTGTCGATAGTCCTCTGCAACCTTGCGATCTCCATTTCGCACTGCTCCACAGTCCTGTTCGATCTCTGCGAACACTCAGACCTCGACTGAATCTCTGACTCACTGGAACTATCAGTCTCCACCAACCTTCTCGATAACTTCTTCTGCAAACTGCCTGAACAATGGACAACATCTGCCGATTGATAGGCACTATCTGGATTCATATTCTCACTATCGTAGTTCAGATGATGGTTTGTTACGTGCTGGTCATCGTAGGTGGATTTGTTTTTGTAACCGTGGGAGCACTCGTAATTTTGTTCATCGAAGTTTAGGTTGAGTTTGTTTAAATAGCCTCGGTTGCAGTCGTTGTTGTACCCAGTTCCGTTTTTGTATCCTTGTTGATCAAAATACTGCAAGCGTTTGTTCGAAGAGTTTTGTAAACTTGTATTGGAGTACGAGTGGCTTAAGTTGGAATTTGGGTAGTACAAACTGTTGTTCGAATGCGAATGTTGCAAAGGGATACCGATAGTTTGGTGCACCGGACTGGATTTATTATCATAATTCCTGTGGTACTCGTAGTTGTTTCCATACCCATAATCCGGTGAATTTATTTTATCCAAAGATCTCTTAAACTTATTGGCTAAATAATTTTGTTCGTTCTCAACACTTGCTAAATCTTTAACATTCCTATCGATCTCGTACCTGTGTTCATCGATTCTTTTCTCATCAGACATACGATTGTTCCGGTAAGACAATCCAGGATTCGTCCTGGGTATCCTTAAATTCCTCCTCATCACCGGACTGGGAGTGTCTAAAGGTGAACTAATATAATTAGCAGGTCTTTGTAAATTTTCTTCGGAACTTGAAGGCGTTAAGGAATTTTCAATCAACTTTTTGGAGTTCTTGTTTTGAAAATCCATGTGGTACACAGGATTTTCAAACGCTAAAGCCATGTTATTATTACCACCATTGTCCTGTCCAGATTTGTTATCAGTTTTCATTTTAATCTTAATGGGATTAATCAAATCTGTCGGGCTTGAACTTTGACTTTGGGTAGTAATACTTTGGTAACCAGAACTGCACACATTCGACAACTGTCCGATGGATATGTTGGATCCTTTATTCTGCACATGATTTTGTGCAACGTTATTAGCATTATTAACCAAATCTACATTCTGTTCATCAGCATACGCAAACAAGTCTGATAACTCGTCCAAATTGGCAGTGTTTTTAACATTACAATTAATCCTGTCGTTATCAAAAACATTCAACCGGTCACTCACCAAACTCGCTTGCGAATTTGTACGCAACTTGCTATGTTTAGGAGTCGGACTCTTCCTCACAAAAGCACTAGAAGTCTCCAAACCGATAGGAATCAAATTGCCTTCATTCGGGTTATCGCAAATCTCAACTGTGCAGATTTGATTGTAAGTATTTCGAGGCAAAGTGGCAGCACGTACTCCCAAATTTGGTGACTTTTTAGGATAATTGAACACTCTGGTCGGTGATGGTTGCTGAGTTATAGGTGGATCATCGGCAGTGACGTTGTTTATTTCGGTGCTGCTTGTTACCAAGCTGTTTTGGACACAGTTGCTTGTCGGGGTTATGATTGTCGATGGAGATTTTTGTAATTTGGCTTCGGTTAAGGAGACGTTGGAGACTGGCATTGTGTTTTGGACTGTGGGATCGTTGAACCTGAAAAGAGATAAACAAAAATATATTATACTAGCTGACCCGGCAAACATTGTTTTGCTGAGTAAGGTATATTCTAAACAATTTCTAGAGAATCAAAAAATTAACAAAATTAGTGTATAAGAATGTGTTGTTTGAATGCTATTTACAATGAGGTATTATAAAAACCCCATTAGTTTGTCTATATCTTGTCAATACAATCAAACTGGAAGTTATATACACTGTCTATAGAAAACATGGTATAATCCAATTCAAGTTTTTTTGGTCTTTCGACTTATTGATTACGTTTCAAGTTTGTCAGATTCTTTTTGGCTTCTGGATTTTGTGTATAATTGTAAATAATACTACTGAGCTTATACAAAATTTTCAAATTTCTGCGAGGAGAGATAGAAAATGAATTGAGTATTTCTTTTTTGACCTGCTTTTTGAAAAGTTTTAAGTAACATTCGATGAATTAAACTAATTTTAATAAAAAGTATATATGTAGAGCAGGGCGAGCCACAAAGGTCGAATTTGACTTTGAGCAAATATAAACTATATTATTTCAAACGAACAATTATCTGACTACGTTCAGTAAAACTGCCAGCTACTTCATCATCATAAAAATGTGCTTTTTTGCTGTCTTTCAAAAAATTGTTATTTAGATCTTTTTACCCCATAGACGAGGTAACTTGAAACGGCCAGGTGATAAACAGGTTTAATGTCTTATTTTACAAAATAATTACATTTTTAACTAATGCTAAAAAACTACTAACGAAAGAAAATGCTATTATTATAGATTTACAAATATTACTGTTTATCTCCCGATAGCAAAGTCATAAGAATCAAGGTTATACATCTTTTTCCCTCTACTTTCAAATATTGTTGTTAAACAATGCTTAACTTTACTGGTTTTCGACACATCGGTGGTGGATAGGGTTTGTCGGTTTTCAAAAATCGGTTTTAAAAACCGTTTTTTTGGCAAAAATTATGGAATTCGGAAACCGGTTTTTTACTGAAAAAAGTCGTTTTTCACTGCATAAATGGAAAATGGCAAATATAGCCAAATATAAAAGATAGATGAAAGCATTTTGATTCTTGAAATCATATCGGTTCAATAGCATTTGATGTCTTATCAGTCTGCAATGGTTCCCAGAAAGGTTTTCTATATATTAATTTAGATTTTTTATACCAGAGTATATTTGAATTTAAATCAGTGTGACTTATTCTTGAAGAAGTAACTTCCTCTACTCTAACTTAAAAAACAGTTTTAAACGCTAGAAACCACAAATTAAAGAACAAAAAACTTAGAATTATTATATCAGGCTTTAAAAACAATTAAGCATAATTTGGTCGCATTTCAGAAAATTTTGTGAGTGAACAAAGGACACGTTCAAGTAGCAATTCGATAGACATTTTCAGGTTTTTGAAATCATATTTTATTAAACAAAAAAACAATTAGAATGTTTGAAATTAATTAATTAAAATTGCTCGGAACAGACAATATCTGAGTTTAGCTTAAATGTTTTTAAAACTAAAATTGATATTAACAAGTATGTATCAACATGTATCTAATATTTTTTTAAATTTAATAAATGTTTTTTATTTAAGAATGCATTATTTTTATTTATTCGAAAACTTTCCTTTCACTATCAAAAATATTTTCATTCTTATATGTGAAAATGATGCATGAATAACGAATAATTATTTTCAAAGTTATTTGATCAAGATAAACTATTATTTTTTAGTTCTACTAATTAAAATTAAAATAATTTTGTTTACTATCTATAAAATTGAACAATAAATAAATTCAGTGAAATACTGCTCTAAATCACACTAAATTTGTGGATAAATTATAGAATATTTGAGCAAATATTTATTTTTTATATAAAATTGGAAAACCGTCTGAAGCCGGTTTTTTAGTAAAATTAAAATTCAAAAACCGGTTTTCTGAAATGTCGGTTTTTGTATAAACCCTAGTGGTGGACCTTTTCAACCCCGGACCTTCATATATTACTATCTATTCTTTGATAAATTCTGGGAAATTATAACTGGGAAAATGTAATTCGACAAAATGTTCCTTTGATCAATACCAAATTTTGGTTCCGAATTTAAATAACATAAATAAAAAATAATATAACCTAGAAAATGTTTTAAAAATAGCAATGAGTATATAATTATACAAATGCGATCTTTAAGATAATTGTGTTTGAGAAAAATATGATTTGCAAAAAAAGAGTGCTACAACGCCAAAAAGTGCATTTTTATATTAACATTTTAAAAAAGTTGATATTTTTAGTATCTAGTAACACATGCGGCCCGTTTACTAACGTTTTTGTATATAAATAAAACTACAAAGAAAACTACTTACTACAATTTAACCATAATTAAATAATATTCACGTAAAACATCCTATTAAACGTAATTGAACATCATCTGTCAAAAACGTTTGACATTTGACGTATTAGCCACAGTACGTTGTTTTATTCAAATTATGCTTCTACAAAAATGTTCGAATTAAAAATGTAAAGTTTATACGCGATTTTGAAATAATAACTCACCTTTCCGATAACCTACTAATAGCACAAATTTTTCAAGACTAAAGCTGGCCAAATCGGTTTAGCCGTTTTCGAGAGCTCTATTTTTATATATAAAATATTGTGATAAATATACAAAATAATCTTATTAGTAATCTAATTACTACCTGAATATATTATCCGTGATAACCATAGATCCCCTGCTGTCCCTGATCTGTTGCTCTGGCTTATATACAAGTGCATCGAGTATCCTTTTCAGTTCTTGTAAGTCTTGCTGTTTATTAGGAGGAACTTTGGGCAAACTTTCTAACAGAAGACCCTGAAGCAAAGACAATTGTTTTCCTCTATCGATATGTCCACTCCACTGAGTCGTTGTAGATGAACACGATGAGATCGTATTTGTGTGATCTGGTTGTGGAGGCACAGGAGCCTAAGAGATAAAAGACAATTGAAATCAATAATAGGAATTTGTTGATTTATTAGTATATGATATTATGTTTTTTATTATTATTACCGATATCCTGTATAAGAACTCCTTCATATGAGGTGCCTCTTGTAGCAGAAAGTCGTTCAAAAATTCCATAAAACCTTCTTTTCCTTGAAACTTTGTGAAATTAGCCAACGTCTGCAAAGTCTTTGCAACGAGTGTCAAGTTTCTGGCTGCTCTGTCATCAGGATATTCTGAAATAGAATTATCGATTTGATGAAAAATTGGGAAAATTAAATCGGAGGGATTAAATCAAGGGCGAGCAACCCTTTTAAGCCACGGGCCAATTTAAATTTTCAAATTTTAATTTATATATATATATACTAGCTGACCCGGCGAATGTTTAGCTACGGAAAATATTTTTAGAAAATGATTAGTATAAGAAATGACTAACTAATCCCAAATGTATAAATATTATTACATTTAATTAATATAATTTTACCTACTGCAAACGCTAAAATACTAATAAATATTGGATAATTTACTCACTGCAAGGCTAAAATACTAACATCCATATTGTAATTATGTTATACTCTGACAAAAAATTTCAGTTTTTTCTCAAAAACAGTTTTATCTCCTGATTTTAAAATTAAATTTATATCTTTTTGCTGAGATAGCTCCTTTTGTAAGACATTCAAAAACTATGTACTTTTTATGCACATCGAGAACTAGTTGGTTTGATATTTAGCCTTGAGGTAAGTTACATGAGCTTCCCGATATGTGTAAATAATCGACTTAATAAAAAAAAAATGTGTAAATAATATACTTCATCAATCCTACTTTAAAAAAACGATAATAATTTTAGCAAAGTTTGACGAATTTTTAAAATTAAACTACATGTCGTAAGGCCGTAATATTACAGAAAGTTCTATAAGACCATGATGTATATCGCCAAAAAAAGTTCCATGAAAATCGGCTTAATTTTTTTTTTCAACAGTTAATTACAAGAAAACGGCTCGGTAGATTTTCACCTAAAATTAATCAGCATCATTCCCAACTAATATCTTTCGAACAGTTTTTGATTTTTTAAAATCGGTTCGGTAGGATGAGCTTAAATTTGGACGAAAAGTTTAACACTTTTTTCAAATTGCAAAGAAACGGCTTGGCAGATCGTCGCATAAAACTGACAAACAATAGTCCTCACCGAAATACATCAAATAGCTTTCAAATTTCTAAAATCGGCTCAGGCGTTTTTGAGAAAACGTCGATCAAAGGTCTAATTTTGACAAATGCCAAGAAAACGATGACAATTTTTGCAAACTTTGACGAATTTTTAAAGCTGAACCAGTTGTCGTAGGGCCGTAATATTTTAGTATGATATAGAAGACTATGGTATCTACCGTCAAAAAAATAATCATAAAAATCGTCGAAATTTTTTTAAAAAAACTTTATTACAAGAAAACGGCCCGGCCGATCTCTACCAAAAACTAATCAGGTCGATTCCATACCAATATCTTTCGAACGATTTTTGAATTTTCAAAATCGATTCAGAACTGCGGGCTAAAACGTGGACAAAAAACTTTTCACTTCTCTCCTATTTACGAAGAAACGGCTTGGCCAATCGTCGCACAAAACTGACAAACAATAGTCCTCATCGAGATACTTCGAAAGGCTTTTAAATTTTTGAAATCGGTCCAGCCGTTTTTGAGAAAACGGCGATTTACGGCAAAAAATCTGTTGGTGCACACGCACACACACACATACTTTTTTCAAATTTGGTCTCATTCGATTCAGAATGGCTTGAAACGTCGAGAAAACATAAAATTAGCGAATCGGATTTTTTTATGAAAACATAAACTTCTCCTTCGGGAAGTTAAAAATGTTCGATTTTTTTCTACATTGAGGTAAGGGGACGTCCATTAATCACGTGATCACCTTTTAGTGATTTTTGGATCTCCCCTTCCCCTTGGTGATATCCAAAATTACCGCCTCCTATTGTAATTGTAATTTTTTTTATTTTTTTTTAAATGTTAGGATTTTTTTTAAATTTAGGTAAAAAATAAATACACATGATATCTTACTATACCACTCCCTTCCCTAGCGTGATTTTTTTACAATATTATATTGTAATTTTCTTACCATTTGTGATGTTGAACAAACTAGGCGACAATATAGCTGGACATAAAAATCTCAAAAATATTGAAGCTGAGATCAGATTGTCAGCCATGTCCTGTCGATTTAACTGTGCAAGCCTGCAAAAAATAAATTCATAACTTTAAGTAATTAATTCAAACATTTTTCAATTTAAAACCTAACATTTTGTCAAAATATACACTATTATAAATGCATTACAATTTTTCTTACCTTCTTCTAAAAGTGGCAAAGCATTCTCGAATCTGCAAAGGAAATGCCTCATGACTATGTTTCACCGAAGTCCAAACACTGCTGACGGCTTCTCTTAAAGCATTTTGATTCTTCAGCAATTGTGTTGAATTCGGGGACACTCCACCTCTTGCAGGATCCACTTCGCAGTCACAAGTTGCACTCGATGCTAATATTGCTCGTACTGGTGGACCTAGCGTGTCCTAGAAAAAAAAAGAGTGCGCCTAAGGATCACACGCGATTGAAGTAAAACTTATTTGCTACTGTATAAAGTAGCAAATTTAAGTTGAGTCAAAAAAATACATCATATAAAATTTTGAATAATGTTTATTAGTAATCTGGTAACACTCGTGATGCACACATTTATTAGTGTCGTCAATCATTATACACATTTATATAATGATAAATTATAAATTATATATTTATGATTACATTAAAAATATGTATAATATTTACAAACAATAATGTAATCAAAGTCGTATTTGAAATATGACATGATCGTTTTAAAGTAATTGCTGATTAATAAATTCTATAATATTCATTCACACAGTGGATTATGTTAAACAACGCCTAAACAAATATTGTTTTTGCAAATTAACTCATCATGTAACAATTGTGTTTGAAGAACTTCATGTAATTAAAATTAACATACATTCATTTACTGTTTGTATTTTTCTACTTTTTCGCTGACAATATAATCTCATTCCTTGAACAGCTGTAATATCCGTCTTGCCTAACAAATTGAAGCCATACTTTTATATTTGTTTTATTTATCAAGCCCTGCACATAGCTTGATCTATGAATCATTTGCTTTTTTATGTGAACGTTAATGCAATGATCATCATCAATACTACGAGGTAATAAATTAACCATATTATTAATGTCAACAGGCACATTTATAATTTGGCCAAACATTCCAAATTGTCCATTTGCATGTCGCAATCGTCTAATTTGCATGAAACACAACCTAGGTGAAATTAACCTTTCAGATTCAGTATCTAGTTTAGGTAGATAATTTGGTATAGGTGGAAATACAAACCCGTTAAACTAACACAAAGTGGAAATTTTACCCGAATTTAATATCTTTCGACAAGTTTGACATCCAACCTGATTATTTGAATCAATATTAAAAAAACATTATTAAGAATTTGTTTTTGAGCATCATTTGATATTTCAAAGTCACTTTGAAGCCAAAGCCGATCACACACAAAACATACATAGCCAAAGCTATCATTTCTTACGCAGCGCAGATTTTTCCTTTGTTTCATTATTTATTTGCGATCATTTGCACTACAATTATTTATGGGGGACGGGATAAAATATTATTCGATTGACATTTTTATTAACTCACGAATTATACTGCTAACCCATGTCGCGCCTAAAGAAGTTTTCCTTCAAAAATAGTAATAGTAATAAATAGTCAGTAATAATAATAATAATGGGTGGTACTGCCCTAGGACAGGCTCGTGATCAGATTCAAACTCTGCCTTATTAAAAACATATTTTTCATCTATATTTTCTTAAGAATGTGTTTTATTAATTACCTGTAAGTATTGTTCGCCTGTAAGTTTCAAAAATGCTTCCATAGCTTTGGTTGCCAAAGAATTTCCTCGAAAAGTCAATCGTTGATCACCCACCCTTAATAAATCGAGAGATACTACATCTGCTAAAAAGGGTCCGGCTTGTCCTAAAGACTGCATCAATAAAACCATTGATGAAGCAATGTCTTCTTTGGCTTTCACACCTGGTAATAGAAAAGACACAATTTAAAATTGTCTCATCTCCTAAACGGCTAGTAAGAAGTTCTAATTATTAATTTTATTGTTTTTTTTTATCTTTTCTTAGGGTAGTTATAGTAATGGGCCGAAAATCGAAAATAACTAGTGGGGCGCATGGCATCGTTCCTTAAGGCAAATTGCTGGAACTTCCCGTACCAAAAAAAATTTTTTTTAAAAAGATTAACATTTTTCACTCTCAAAAAATTAGATCTTTGAGAAACTATAAATTTTTGACAAATACTTTTTTTTAAAAAAAAAAACTTTCAAAAAAATTTATTTTGAAATATTTTGGAAATTTTGAACTTTTTTTCAAAGCAATCGTACTGCTTTAACTGCATAAAGACGAAATATCAAAGCGCGTAAGCGCCGCGTCGCCGTCTAATGCGTAAACATTGGTACGGAACCCATAGGAATGTAAACCAAATTAATACTTATTGTTAAAATCTCTATAAAATATCTGATAATTTGATGTGCATATGTCTAATGATCATTTTTGACCGCCAAATGGCTCATTTTTTTACTTTTTTACTAGATCTCCGAAACCGCTAGACCTGCCTTCATGAAAATTTGATTTGTTCTTCATCTTGTTAAAATGTCTCTTAAAAACTGAGTTACCGTTTTTAGCACTTTTTGCCCCATATCTTCGGAACGGCTAGACATGCCTTCGCCAAAAACTAATCAGCACGTATCCTTATCAATAAGAATCGAATGTTTTTTGAATTATTCAAAGCGCTTCATCCGTGTTGCCGAAATCGTCGACGAAAATTTGTATCCGCACACACACACACTTACACGCACACACGCATACACACACACATACATCCATTTTTTCTAAGGTATGCCAAAATGTTCAGAAGGTTTTGAAACGTAAAGATATATAAAAATTTTCATTTTCGATTTTTTTGCGATTACTATAACTTGCCCTACGGGAAGTTAAAAATTTTTGCATTTCTCGACGTTTTGAAGATTTCTGAACATTTTGGCATACCTCAGAAAAAATGGATGTGTGTGTTTGTGTGTTTTGTGTGTGTGTTTTGTTTGTTCGCATTTTTTCGTCCACGTTTTCGGGCGCACGGATCAACTGATTTGAATGTTTTAAAAAACATTCGATATCTATTGATAGAGAGATGTGCTGATTAGTTTTTGACAAAGGCAGGTCCAGCCGTTACGGAGATACGGAGCAAAGAGTGCAGAAAATACAAATCGAATTTTTGAGAGAACGGATTTGAATGATCTAAAAAACATTCAATTAGTAATGATTGGGAGAAGAGTTGATTAGTTTTTGGCAAAGACAGGTCCCGCCATTTCGAAGAAGAGCTATTTGTGCAAAAAATTGCAGTTTTTGAGAGAACTAAGCGTCCGATTTAAATGATCTAAAAAACTTTCTGTTTGTTTCAACAAAATAATCGCTTTTAGAAAAAAAAACGTTTCGAATTTTTTTTTCAAAATTTTTTTTTTTTAATTTTGGATTAAAAATTCAAAAAATTACCCGGGATAAGCACAGTCTAAGTGCCATTCTGGAGCAAATGTTTACCCAAGTGCGTTTAGACTGTTTATGTACTGGAGCACTTTTCCAATTTTGTGAGAAAACTATTGAAAAATGTGAAAATGCCGCCAAGCTAAGCACAGTATAAGTGAAAATGTCGCACAGAATTATTTGCAAATGCGTTTAGACTGTGACTATACGGGAGCACTTTTTCAATTTCGTGTAAATTAGGCAACTATTGTTTTTTGAAATTGAATTCGAAATGAAATGACGATTGTTAATGTAATAATTGATTTATGATTCACATTTGATTTGCTCAGATATAACAAGATAGCAAAAATAATGCAAGTTACAGTATATTTGTAATAATATATTTGAAAACGTTTAAAATTTCTCGAATATTTCATTACGGTACGGGAAGTTCGAGCAATTTGCCTTAAGGCACGATGCCATACACCACTAGTTGTCTTCTTCTATTTCCTCACCTATGACAGGTTCCAAGCTCTCGCACACCAGTTTATAATTCCTTCTCAAGTACTCGGTGAAGTTCTCATAATCTGCAAGAGGCCTTACTCTTGTCGATTGATACCTTGCCTTCAATCTCAAAGTAGGACCATCTCTTTGTCCAGAACTCGTGGTTGTACTTCTGGACAGACTTCCGCTGGCATTGAAATCTTTTTCTGATAAAATGGGATACCATCTTTCTGTGAAGTATCTGCCATCGAGTTCGTTCACTGGTATCCTGACTGAACCTAAGGGAGGAAGAAATAGGTAATTGATAGAATTGGAGGTGATAATAGATTGTTTATTCGTGTTTTGACTTACCGACTAAGATTTGTTTGTCCCTTTTTCGTTTTCGATCTCCTTCTCGATAGACTTCGACTTTAAGTTCTTTGACATCTGTTGGTAGATCTGTTAAGTCGAAGAGCTCACCCCAGAATAATATTTCGCCTAAAAATGTTAGAGAGATATAATGACCATTTTTTACCCCCAGGCATCCATCTATTATTAACTTCCCGTAGGGTAGTTATAGTAATGGGCCGAAAATCGAAAATGAAAATTTTTGCATTTCTCGACGTTCTGAAGGTTTCTGAACATTTTGGCATACCTCAGAAAAAATGAATGTGTGTGTGTTTTGCATGTCCACATTTTTTGTCTACGTTTTCGGGCGCACGGATCAACCAATTTGAATGGTTTAAAAAACATTCGATTGCTATTAATAGGGAGATGTGCTGATTAGTTTTTGGCAAAGGCAGGTCCAGCCGTTACGAAGATATGGAGCAAAGAGTGCAGAAAACAGAAATCGAGTTTTTGAGAGAACGGATCATCCGATTTGTATGATCCAAAAAGCATTCAGTTCGTAATGACGGGTAAAAGTGGTTATTAGTTTTTGACAAAGGTAGGCCAGCTGATTCGGAGATACAGAGCTAAATGTTGAAATAAATGGCAGTTTTTGAGAGAATTAAGCGTCCGATTTAAATGATTCAAACAACTTTCTGCTTGTTTCAACAACATAATTGCTTTTGGAAAAAAAAAATTGTTTCTAATTTTTTTTTCGAAAAAAATTTTTGTGATTTTGAGTTAAAATTTCAGAAAAACACCCAGGCTAAGCACAGTCTAAGCGTCACTATGGTACAAATGTTTGCCCATGTGCGCTTAGACTGTTTATGTATGGAGCACTTTTCCAGTTTTGTGAAAACTATTGAAAAATGTAAAAATGCCGCCAAGCTAAGTACAGTATAAGTGAAAATGTCGCACAGAATTATTTGCAAATGCGTTTAGACTGTGACTATACGGAAGCACTTTTTCAATTTTGTGTAAATTACGCAACTATTTTTTTGTTCTTAAATTGAATTCGATATGAAATGACGATGGGAGATAAATTGATTTACATGATTTACATTTGATTTGCTCAGATATAACAAGATAGCAATATAAA